CTCGCATCCCTACAAAGCCGGGACGGAGCACGCCGGGTTCTCACCGGACCAGGCTCTGGGGTAGAGAGAAAATGCGTTGGTCAAGACGAACCCAGGGCTACGCGTGTCCTGCGCCCACCATGATCAGGTTTGTGCTAGTCTCCAGGAGTGGTAGTTAAGACGGTGCTCCGACAACCACCAAACAAAAATCAACACGATGAACAATAACGAAAGACCATGGCCTAGTTACGGAACTTCTCTGCCTACGAGAGTCTTCCAATTTATGGCACACGACAAAAAAGAAAATGAATACATGAAACTACAAGAAGAACAACGTGTACCATGTAGTAGTTGGTGACCCTCCTGGCCTGCTTGATGGAGTCGTTCGATTTACGGCCTCTCGACAAAAAATAGTAATACAAACAACGCGGACTTTTTTATCCAGGGCACACCGAAAAAACACAATCAACAACGACGACGACGACTTACCATGGTCTCGTTGGTGACCCGCTGCCTGGAGTAGTCCAGCAGGACGCCGTCCCTCTCGGTCATGAGAGCGGCGCAGCGGTCCGCATCAATAACCATATCGCGGAGGTGCGCGCCCTGCAGCGACGCCGCGTGCTCCTTGAGGGCCGCCCATGCCGCTGTCTCGTGAATGTGAATGGCTGAAGTTCAGTGCAGGGGGTGACGGGGTTGGGGGGAGGGAGGGGGTGACATGACTGTCCTCAAATGGTCATGAAAATAAGTACTGCATAAAATGAGCGTAAAGAACACGAGGGGGAGCTACGCGGTGCGGGAAAGGCAACCGCTCCGAGCAAGCCCGACGAGCTTGTCGGCGGAGGGGGAGGGGTTGATGTCAGAAGGAAACACAAAGATGCTTGGTAGACTCGACTCGATGTTTATCTATCCGGGGACCACCGTCGACATTCATAGTCCAGTACACACGCGGCCGTTACGATCGCACACCTGGGCTTTCCCACATAGGGTATTGTTTCGCGTTGTTGTCTACGCGCTGTGCGACACGACCACCACGCACAGGCCTGTCTACCAGACAACCACAGGAAATGGATATTCTTGCACGCATGGTATATTATCATGCCTCCGGGAGTGTAGCGCCATGTAGCTCACGATCAGGCGTGCGAGTGTAGCACAAGAGCAGACAATTTTCTTCCTGTTTGCGTGCATGTGCGTCGAATCACTCCCAGCAACCTTCCCATAAACGATGATCAACACTTCGAAGGGGTACCAGCAAGCTCTTTGAGCGTACAACAGGTATCCTGTATCCGTGTTTGGAAGGGTGCTTCGCTGATCAATTGAGTTATTCTTGCCTCCGCATCATAAGCGACCAGCTCTACCTTCTTTTGTCGACTTGCCTTTTTTTCTGCCCGACTTGGTGTTTCGTGCCATTATTTTCTGTACCTGAAATCAACATCGAAAGCCTTAGCCGGCTAACTTATCAACCAACGCCCCCAGCCTTTCCTAGAAGAAACTCACGTTGGCCGTCCACATCGAGGCTGGACGTCAGTTTCTATGGCTGGACATCAGTTTCTATTTTTGCTGTTGTTTGCTAAGCGTCTCTGCTCAGTGCCTTCTGATATCCGCACCGACCCAACTGACATGGACACCGTCCGTTGTCACAAGACCTCACCCCAAGGAGGTGTACATACTTCAAGAAACCAAACAACAAACACTCGGTAAAATTACCGCCCTTTCGTGTGCTTGTCAGCCACTCAGGGAGGAAGACCACGCAGCGTTTCTTTGTTTCGCCATCTTGTTTCTTCTGCGTGGACTAAATAGAAATTTCTTCGGAAGCTTTCTCGCAACACATGCTCTGTCCTTTCAACCATTGCACCATTTTCCGTCCTCCCTTGGCGAGCGCGGTAGCGGCAGAGAGGAGAGGCAATTGACACATTTCAAACTCGAGCTTCCTGGTTTCCTGATGATATTTGACTGTTTAGGTGTCGTGATGATTTCGGGATAGAGGCAAGTTTTCGGATGGATTGCAAACTCCGGTCCTGGTGTTGTGCTTTCCATCACCACACAAAATTACGTGTCCGGACGCACGGCTCGGAATTTCAAAAGCTTGCAAGCTGCGAACTGCTGATCTGCTGATACATTAGGCACACATACGCACACCCAGCGGCTGAAACAAAACAGCAACGTCTCGCACAACCGTAGACCCTCACCAGCCATGGCTCAATCCCCCTGTATGTGAAGGCACACCAGTAATAGCTATCTCTGGCCACATACGCAACAGCAATGCCTGAATGTCGTCGCGAAATGTGCTGTTCTTTTTACCGTTGGAAAATCTCTGAAAATAGGTAGAGCAGAGGCGGGTATCCACCCGGGTATTAACGGCCACCTGGCTTATACATCTCATATCTTGCCAACAATATCGCGGAATACCTTGTTTCTTTTTTCTCCTTGTTGTCATGGACCTTGCTGATCGTTTAAGCCCAACTTTGCTCCAGCTGGATAAAAACTGAGCCCTCTACAGCGTTCGGTGCCAGGGTGGCATCCGATATTCCTGCCGTTCTCGAGCTACTTTTTTCCGCCAAGAAAGCTGGGAAAAATCCTTCACAAATGCCAAAAATTGGGAAAGAGTAAGATTGTGTGTAGCTGGGTGGGTGAATGCAACCTGTTGAAGTGGGTGAACACGGGTTCTATACCCCACATCGTGGTTCTATCTTTGCCCACACTGTTGCATCTATATATGTTTGCTCGTTTCCCCTCGATTTTCGCCAAAAATCGACCCAAAACGCTTTCTGGCTGCAGGACTGACACGAAATCGACTCCAACTACACTTAAAATTGTACGCCGTCTACTCTAGAGGTGCTGAACAAGGCCCCGAAGAAAAAATGGAAAATGAAGTTCTTAACCTACCAGTGTTGCGCCCACAGGAGGCCTATTTTGCCCAAAACTCAGCCCAAAAAAACGCTTAACTTTTCGCTTTGTCCCTGGGTAAGCATGTTTTCTTTTTTTTTTCAAACGCTGCCTAGTACCATCATCATTGTGCCAAAGGAGAAGTTCTGGGAAGCAGTAGAACGTGCACAGTCACTAGTGTTCAAGGTGGCCGTTAACACCCTCCGGGCCGTGTTTCCCCTCAATATTCCAGCTTCAACTTGGGCGAACGGCTACCACCGCTGTACCTCGTCAGTATTAACGATATGTCTGTTCTTTTTTTTTTGACGGGAAAGATGGTGATGATAGCTATCGCTCGATATTTAAATAAGTAATATTTTATCGTTGTTCGTTATATTGTCGAAGAACGAGCTCTTGGCGCCAGGGGTAGCTTAAGTGGCCGTAAGTACCCGCCTACGCTCTAAATGTGGTGTGATGGTAGATGGGAGTCTTCCTGTTGGAAATGCAGCATAGTCGCGCACATCAGTATCAACGTGTACAAACACAGCCGTCATGGCACAACCCCCCCCTGGATGTGTAAGCACAACAACAGCAGTGTAGTAACAGACCTGGCTGCGCGCTCTCACACGATGATGATGATGTTTAAACGTATCGAAAATAATGCATACAACAAAAAAAAAACGACCGAAAAAAGCATGATACCCTCGGTCTGGTGAGATGAAGAGACGAGTTTTGCTNGATGTTTAAACGTATCGAAAATAATGCATACAACAAAAAAAAAACGACCGAAAAAAGCATGATACCCTCGGTCTGGTGAGATGAAGAGACGAGTTTTGCTTCACAGCGGCAGCAGCGCGGTACCAACCATCAACCGAGAGCGGAGCATCCCCAAAAGCCATCGCATATTCCTTATGACATGTATGGTGTCTTTCCCAGGGCCAGAATAGATGGGGCGGTGGACGAGGGGAGAAAGCTGTGAACATATGCATGCGAGACCTACGACGATGTCATGAAATGACACGGTTGCCCACGCAACACGGTTGGGCGCCGTTTGCCGCTGTGCGGTTGCCCCTTTCCACACCGCGTTGCCTGATGGGCTCGTGTATGTGGATAAGTGTGTGTCCGCCACCATTGTTCATTTACTCCGGCGGAAGCGCATTAGATGCCGACCGCCTGGCGGCACTGCTGGTTTTGATGATGATTGATGTACATGTCGGCCGTTGGTGCTCCAGTTGAGAGAGCAGCGAGAGCGGGCACAGCCGTCGTGAAGATCGATCCTTCCAGATGAATTTACCAAATGGGCCAAAAGTGCCCTCCGATGATTTCATCGGGATGAGGTCCACCTGATGATTTTTTATTATTATTATGCTAGGCCCTGTGATCAAAGATCCACCTGATGATTTTGCGAATATTCTAGACCGTGAGACAATGCAAACTCGATCTTCAGGAATTCCTGGTGACTTCGACCCCAAACACCAGGAAGCTCGAATTTGCGATGTGTTAAGTAGAGACCCGCGACGGCAACGACGCCTATGTAGGTTTGCTAGCCAAGGCAACACACCGCCGGTAGGTTTGCACGCACATATACCCCCCTCGTAAGTGACCCCAATGGGGTCGTCTAGCTAGTAGAAGTGGAGATTGGGGGCCAGAGGGTCAGACGACAATGACAGGAGGAAAAACAAAAAAATAACGTTCAGCAACTTCTAGAAGCATCCGTCTCTGCAGGTGCGCTCCTCGTTTTCGTGCTGGTGGCATGATTGAACCTCCTCTCCGTGAGGCCCTTCGGGCATCTGCCCCTACGTTGAACTCCGCCTCTCTCTCTCGTTTAACATGCTGCGTTCAGCGCCAACTTCCCCAGCACCCCTCTACAGCAGTAGCTCTCCTGCCGAGCTCCAACATGATTCTGGGTTAGCGTTGACTGCATGCAGCGAGTTTTGATGCGGCTGACACAAGTTGGTGGAGCGATTAGCCGCGAACTCTGTTATGTAGGAGGGTGCAAGCTCTTCGCCTCTACAAGTACAGATTAAGTATAGCAGCAGCAAAGCCCGCAAATCTATTAACCATATCGAGACGAAGCCGGCGATACACGGTAGAAAAAGATAACGCCAGCGTGGGGAGTGTGGCCTTAACTATTGGGTCGGCGGTCTGCGGGGATCGGCATCTTGTCATGAACCGGCGCGCACAAGAGAAAGATACAGCAGTGCACGACAGAGGAAACCCTCTTGATACCAAGAAGCTTGCCTAGTGCGACGCGCTGGAAATGCTTCTTGCTGCCGCACTGCAACTTCTACTAGCGCCAATCGCTTCGTCGGCTCTGGCAGGTAGACAGAGAGCTGCTACTCTCGAGAGTTGTGTTCATGTTTAGCCTACAGCAGCAGCAGGTGCATGTGACAACTCGTTGTCGCCGGCGAGGCTATCCTTTTTCCCCGGGAAATCGGGAAGACTTCCTACATACCCCAGGCCCAGTCTCTACGCTGACCGCCAAAGAAGAGGTGGTGGGCGACAGGGCAGCACAGGGCGGTGGCCATCAAAGCCGACAACCTTACACCGACCGTGTTTGCTGTCATTTGTCTTTCCTACCCCAAGCCGAGCAAGTTGTTGTTTTGTGTGGCGGTTGTTCGCCTCGACCTCCGCTTTTCCCCAAAAAAACTCCCGAGAAAGAAGCAGCATGGGCCGCAACATGGTCCTGCCGAACTGCCATGTACACACACTACCGGCAAAGGGTACTGGCTAAGTGAGACGGGGTTAGCGGGCAGCGTCTCATGCATACGGCAGTCACAGCCTTCACACCCTGCAGGCCACGCAGGGACAACAAAACACCGACACACCAGACACAGGGTGATCAAACCTACGGATCGAGTCGAATGGAAAGGAGCTCTCAACAGCAGCACGTGTGCGGGCTTCCCACGGTCAAGGCTCTCACCCATGGTGCTGATCGTGGCACAGGTCTTGGCGGTTGCTAGGAAGCTGGCGATGGTTCTCCGTTGATTCGCTCCCGGCAACAGGGCAACTACAATGACTCTGGTGTGGTTGGTAAGCAATCTTTGCTCATCTCGTGACGGCCCTTTACCACCGGACGGCCTACCCAGGATTTAAGAGCATCTAGAACAATGGTAAATGACATAAAAAAAAAAAAAATGGATGCTGACAGGCGAGTCCCTACATGTAGCGATAATAGTACAGTCGAGGGACCCTTTTAGTGCCGGTTGAATAGTGCCAGATGCCC